ATCGACACAAAACCCTCAAAATAAACTGGACAAAATTATTGGCACCCTCAATTTAATATTTGATAGCACACCCCTTGGAAAAAAATTATTGAAATCAATTGCTTCCTTTAACCATCAATGAGTTTCTTACTCTTCTTCTCTACTGGAATTTTAGACAACTCTTCTTTCGCCAACTGCTCCAGGTCTCTCAGATTGGAAGGGTTCCTTTTCACAACTGTTTTGAGATCTCTACACAGGTGCTCTATGGGATTGAGATCTGGATTCATTGCTGGCCAGTTCAGTACTCTCCAGCGCTTAGTCTTCAACAGTTTCTGGGTGCCTTTTGACATGTGCTTTTGGTCACTGTCCTCCTGTACGACCCATGACTTTTGACAGAGATCCAATTTTCTGACACTGGGTGCTACACTGCACCTCAGAATTCTTTGGAAGTCTTAAGACTTCATAATGCCATGCACACGTTCAAGACATACATTGCCTGAAGCAGCAAAGCAACCCCAAAAACATCAGTGAACCTCCACCATGTTTGACTGTACGGACTGTATTCTTTTCTTCTGAAAACAGTAGAATGATGGGATTTACCAAAAAGCTGTAAATTTTGTTGCATCTGTCCACAGCACATTCTCTCAAAAGGATTTTGGCTTCCTCAGGGAAACTTTGGCAAACTCCAATCTGGCTTTAGGTTTCTGTGTTAGGGTCCTCCTGGGTCTTCTACCATAGCATCACTTTTCATTCAGATGACGACGTATAGTGTGAACTGACACAGCTGTACTCTGTGTCTGAAGGGCAGCTTGAATTTGTCTGAAAGTTGATTGAAGTTCTTTATCCACCATTGAAAAATTCCTCTTTTGCAATCTTTGATAAATGTTTCTCTTTAGTCCACAGAGATTAGCTAAGTGCCATGGGCTGTAAACATCTTGACAATGTTGTGCACAGTGGACACAGGAACATTAAGATCGGTTAATTGATACAGGCGAGTTAAATTACAGGAGCATCACAAACTTTGAACGCACCTATTTCTTAAAATTTTGAGAAGGTGCCAATAATTTTGTCTAGTCCATTTTTGGGGTTTTGCTTGGAATGTGTCAGATTTGGCTTTTTTTTCCTCCACTTTTTTGTGTCATACCAATACAAAACAAAAGAAATAAACATGAGAACACCTAAACATTTGTAATTGCAAACATTTTCTGGGCAAAGTGGTGCATTATCTGACAGAAATGCAGGGGGTGCCAATATTTTTGACCATTACTCTATATACACTATATTGGCAAAAGTATTGGGACACACCTCTAAATCATTGTATTCAGGTGTTTCACTCACCTCCATGGTCACAGGTTTATAAAATCAAGCACCTGGAAATACAGACTGCTTCTACAAACGTTTGTAAAAGAATGGGTCGCTCTCAGGAGCTCAGTGAATTCAAGCGTGTAGCGTGATAGGTTGCCACCTGTAACTCTGCCACTAAGTGGTATGCGGCATAAAATGACATAGCGGGTCAGCGCATGCTGGAGTGCACAGTAGATCGCCAACTGTCTGCAGAGTCGACAGCTAAAGACCTCCAAACTAGCACAGCAGTGCATAGAGAAAGTCATGGAAAGGGTTTCCAAGTCAGAGCAGCTGCATCCAAGCATTACATCAACAAGTGCAATGCAAAGTGGTGTAAAGCACGCTGCCACTGGACTCTAGAGCAATGGAGACGTGTTCTCTGGAGTGACGCATCACGCTTCTCTGTCTGGCAATCCGATGGACATGTCTGGGTTTTGCAGTTGCCAGGAGAACAGTACTTGCCTGACTGCATTGTGCCAACTGTAAAGTTTGGTAGAGGGGGAATTTTGGTGGCGGGTTGTTTTTCAGGGGTTGGATTTGGCAGTGAAGGGAACTCTTAAAAGGTGTCAGCATACCAAGACATTTTTACAATTTCATGCTCCCAACTTTAGGGGAACAGTTTGGGGATGGTCCCTTCCAGTTCCAACATGACTTGGCACCAGTGCACAAAGCAAGCTCCATTAGACATTGGATGAGTCCTGACCTCAACCCAATAGAATACCTTTGGAATGAATTAGAGCGGAGACTGCAAGACAAGCCTTCTCATCCAACATCAGTGCCTAACCTCATAAATGTGTTTCTGGAAGAATGGTCAAATATTCCCATAGACACACTCCTAAACCTTGTAGACAGCCTGACCAGAAGACATGAAGCTGATATAGATGCAAAGGGTGGGACAACTCAATATTGAACCCTATGGACGAAGACTGGGATGCTACTAAAGTTCATGTGCGTGTAAGGGCAGGCATCACAATATGCACGCATTCACACACACGCACTGATGTTCGACGATAAGGTCTGGTTCGCAGTCTCTGCTCTAATTCATCCCAAAGGTGTTCTATCGAGTTGAGGTCAGGACTCTGTACAGGCCTGTCAAGTTCCTCCACCCGAATGCACTCATTCATGTCTTTTATGGACCTTGTTTTGTGTACTGGTGCGCAATCATGTTGGACCAGGAAGGGGCCATGCCCAAACTGTTCCCTTAAAGTTGGGAGCATGAAATTGTCCAAAAAGTCTTGGTATGCTAAATGCCTTAAGAGTTCCCTTCAATGGAACTATGGGGCCAAGCCCTAAACCTTAACAACCCCACACCATAATCTCCCCTCCACCAGACTTTTACACTTGGCACAGTGCAGTCAGGCAAGCACCGTTCCCCTGGCAACCGCCAAACCGAGACACGTTAATCTGATTGCCAGACAGACATGATTTGTCACTCCAGAGAACACATCTCCAATGCTCTAGAGTCCAGTGGCGGCGTGCTTTACACCACTACATCTGACGCTTTGTATTTCACTTGATGTAAGGCTTGGATGCAGCTGTTTGGCCATGGAAACCCTTTCCATGAAGTTCTCTATGCACTGTTGTGCTAATGTGAAGTTGACCATGGAATATTTAGTAGCAAAGAAATTTCACCGAAGGACTTATTGTACGGTTAGCAACCTTATGACGGTACCACGCTTGAATTCAATGAGCATTCTTGCTTACAGTATTTCTTCACACCTGCCTAAACTTCAATTGCTTATTTTTATCAATTTCCAAAATACAGTGAGCAAACAGAAGAAAAATGTAATTCAAATCAATATTTGGCGAGACTCCCCCTTGGCTTCAAACCAGCATCAATCCAATTTATCCGCTTCCCGTCTGCCCTATAGCAGAAATACTGTTACAGGATGGCACGGGTGCAAAATCACATATATACGCGAGCTCGCATTTCCGGGTAGGGGGGTGCGTGCAAGGCACATGCGTGCCCTACCTGCGCCGCCGTTCGCGCCTGTTGCTATCAATCACCGGGTCCCAACCTGGTACTTGCCGACACCCAGTGATTGCCGAGGATCTTCCACGGGGAGAACTGTTTGTAAACAAAAAACAGTTCTACTCCCTGTCAACTCATGCACATTTGTTTTGTATGGCTTTGCACAGCACAGCCTTACAAAGCAGTGTGCTTACAGTGCAGCACAAACACAGGGTCCCATAGTAAAAACACACCCAGCACACAGTTAACGCGCTGATCGCCCGTCATGTTAACCCGTTCCTGCCCAGTGCCTTTAGTACAGTGTTTTTTTTTTTTTTGTTTGTTTTTTTAACTTTGACTGCTTTACCAGCCATTATGGGTGTAAAAGCAATCAGTGTAAAAAAAAAAAAAAAAAAATCATCACCCCCCACAAGCAGTACAGTGTCACTAAGGTGACAGTACTGCTAGGGTGGCAATATGTTAAAAAAAAAAAACAATGTAAAAAAAATTTATTTTGAAATTATAACATTTTTGGTTATAAACTAATTTGGGTTATTTTTTTTTTTTTTTACTAAAAAGATAACTGAATACATCTTGGCCAATATTTATGAAGAAGGATTGGTTATTTACAAACTTTTAAAGAAAAACACTTTCAAAATTAAATTTTTTTCATTTATATAGAAAAAAAAAAAAAAAATCCCAGTGGTGAGTAAATACCACCAAAATAAAATATCGGTCTCAAAAAAATGCATATGGGTACAGTGTTGCATGACCGCGCAATTGTCAAAGTGTGACAGCGCTGAAAGCTGAAAATTGCCCTGGACAGGAAGGGGGTAAAAGTGTCCAAACTTTAAAGTGGTTAATCTCCTATCACCTCTCAGTGTGCATGGACAAGAAGCTAATTGGTCAGCACCATCACATGGACGGTGCTGAGCAATCAGAAATCTGTGTAGCCCATCCCTCAGCACTGCGAGGAGAGAAGAAAGCCAGGAGGATTTCAAATCCTCAAATTGTTGAAGATGCGTCTCAGTGCATGACAGCAGGGGATTGCGGAACACTGGTACAGCGGAGGGATTAGGAGGGGGTCCATTGTAAAGTCACCTTACAGATTTTCTGTAAAAGTGAACTTACATTATAATGACTGCATCAAGTAGAACTAAAGAAAAAACTTCCTACCTCCTTGAGGGCCAGTTCACACTACAGAAACGCAGTCCAGATGTGTTTTTGCATTGCGGTTTTGATGCGTTTTTGGTGCGTTCCAGTGCGTATTCTATGCATTACAGTTCATTTTTTCCCCCGCTCTTTTCTTCAATTTAAATAGGGACATGTGCATTCCAGATGCATTTTACCACGTTATAGTACAGTTCGGTGAAGAAAAAATGCAGCATGTTTTACTTTTTTTCTGCAACCAGAATGCACTGGAACTGCAAGCACTGATGTGAACTATGACAAACAACCATATAATCTACTTTCTGTGCGTTTTGGATGCAGAAAAAAAAGCAACTGAAAACGCATGTAGTGTGAACTGGCCCTACGGACATACAACTAAACTGGCCTGATAGCACAGGTGTTACAGCCACTATGGGCAGCTGTGCCTTTGAAGGTACCTTCTGTTCAATGTTCTAGAGGCAGGGGGCATACCCAGAGGTCTAATCCATAATAAATCAAAAAAGAAAATACTTCTAAGAAAAGTTTCACTTTATATTTACAATCTGGCAGTACCTACCTCTGACAGCTTTTCCTGATGTTTTCAATCTCGCTGTTGTAACTTGGGCTCCCTATGATAGTCTGAAATGCCTGGATGGGATCAATGAGCTGCCCCCATACTTTGGAACCCAAGCGATCGAGGATGGTCATGAAGCAGTGAAGAGCAGGCCAAAAAGGGTTTGAGCTTTCATCTAAAATAATGACATAACTGTGAAATTGTGCAATACTGTAAGCCAAAGAATGCAGAAAATTGCCAGTTAGTAAATACATCTTTTGGTTTTGAAGTCATGCTTGTTTTTATATTTTAGAAAGCCAAGAATGCAAAAAAAACAGTCACTTGTCAAGTTGTTATGTATACAATAAAATATATTACATTTATTGCTCCACCAGATTACCAAAATGTACCTTTAACCACATCAAGACCAGACTGTATTACTCCCTTCCCTCCCAGGCCACTTTTCAGATTTCAGCTCTTTCAGAATTTGAATGACAATTACTCAGTTATGAAATATTGCACCCAAATTAAATTTTTCACGGTGAAGACCAATCAGAAGTAGTCATCCCTGCAAGGAGAGGAGAGAAGGCCATGAAGATTACAAATCTCCAGAAGCGGCTGGGATCAGTGCAGGAAGGTTTCCTGCACGGCTCCTGTGTGAACTCAGACTATGGTAAGCCTGGGTTCACACAGGAGACCAACGGGAAGACGTCATGCAAATTGGACAGAAAACGCACCACACTCCTGTTCAAATCACATACTATTCTTTCCAGTGCAATTCGTGCCCATTAATTTTGTATGGATGCAAATCGCAATGCAAAGTATCGGATTTGCCTCTTATTTCTTGAATCCCTAAAATGCAAGGACAGTACAAATACCCCCAAATGATTCTTTTTGGAAAGTAGAAAGTCCAATGTATTTAGAGACATGGTGAGTTTTTTGAAGTTGTAGTTTTTTGTCCCCATTTTTTAGAAAATGACAACTTTGTGATAAAAATATTTCTCACACACACACACACACACAACATAGGCATACATATGTTTACAGTCTAAAAAACATTGTTATGTTTCCAGAGTAGGGGATACCACCTGTATGAGACTTTACTGAACAGAGGGACCCAAAATCTAAACAGCACTTTCAGGCATTTCCAGGGGCATAAACTACATGAGGCCCTGGAGCACCAGGACAGTGAAAACATCCAATCAACTACCCCATTTTGGAAGAAACACTCTAAATGTATTTTCTGAAAGGCATGAGTCTTTTGAAAATGTCTTTTTTTTTTTTTTTTTTTAAACACATTTTTAAAAAATATGGAAGGAAAATGAAAATAAATATTATGAAGTGGCCCAAAATCCTTCAGGCTATCTAGTGGCTTAAATTACACATCTAATCACATTTTTAGGCCCTAGAGCACTAGGACAATGGAAAAACCCACAAAATGACATTTTTGAAAAGTAAAACACTCCAAAGGTATTTTTTAAGAGGCAAAATGTCCTTTGAAAATTTAATTTGTTTTTTTGTTTTTTTGTTTTTTTTACACAAAAGTTACCAATTTAATAAGCTATTTCTCACACACAGCATGAGAAAAATTTAAAATCACAGCAAAAAATATTATATAGTGAAACTCCTGCGCTACCTAAAAACTAAATAAGTGCGCTATACAATGAATATGATAAAAAAAATGTGTGTAACTTTTTAAGAGACTATTACTGTTTCTAGCATCAAACTGTGTTCCCAAATTAAGTGAAGTGAATTATCTAGTGAATGACGCTGCACTGCTATTATCCCAATTGTGTGTGATGCTTGCACATAACTAAAACATACAATATGAACAAATATGAAACACACATACATATATACATACATATTGCACCAACTTCTCCTCCAGATCACTCCTTTCTCACATAGAACCAAAAAGGAAGGGAGGTATAAATCCCTTATGCTTTCATATTATCGCCTTCACCTTAGTTTCCTTAGAGCCAAAAAGTTGTGCATGTTCTCTTGTACTTTGTGCATGCATGTTGGATAATCACGCACTTATATGTGGACTTTATAACTGACATGACATATTTTATATATATATATATATATATATATATATATATACACACACACACACACACACACACACACACACATATACACACATACATACATACACACACAGTCAGGTCCATAGATATTGGGACATAGACACAATTCTAACATTTTTGGCTATATACACCACCACAATGGATTTGAAATGAAACGAACAAGATGTGCTTTAACTGCAGACTTTCAGCTTTAATTTGAGGGTATTTACATCCAAATCAGGTGAACGATGTAGGAATTACAACAGTTTGCATATGTGCCTCCCACCTGTTAAGGGATCAAAAGTAATGGGACAGAATAATAATCATAAATCAAACTTTTACTTTTTAATACTTGGTTGCAAATCCTTTGCAGTCAATTACAGCCTGAAGTCTGGAACGCATAAACATCACCAGACGCTGGGTTTCATCCCTGGTGATGCTCTGCCAGGCCTCTACTGCAACTGTCTTAAGTTCCTGCTTGTTCTTGGGGCATTTTCCCTTCAGTTTTGTCTTCAGCAAGTGAAATGCATGCTCAATCGGATTTAGGTCAGGTGATTGACTTGGCCATTGCATAACATTCCACTTCTTTCCCTTAAAAAACTCTTTGGTTGCTTTTGCAGTATGCTTTGGGTCATTGTCCATCTGCACTGTGAAGCGGCGTCCAATGAGTTCTGAAGCATTTGGCTGAATATGAGCAGATAATATTGCTCGAAACACTTCAGAATTCATCCTGCTGCTTTTGTCAGCAGTCAGATCATCAATAAATACAAGAGAACCAGTTCCATTGGCAGCCATACATGCCCACGCCATGACACTACCACCACCATGCTTCACTGATGAGGTGATATGCTTAAGATCATGAGCAGTTCCTTTCCTTCTCCATACTCTTCTCTTCCCATCACTCTGGTACAAGTTGATCTTGGTCTCATCTGTCCATAGGATGTTATTCCAGAACTGTGAAGGCTTTTTTAGATGTCGTTTGGCAAACTCTAATCTGGCCTTCCTGTTTTTGAGGATCACCAATGGTTTACATCTTGTGGTGAACCCTCTGTATTCACTCTGGTGAAGTTTTCTCTTGATTGTTGACTTTGACACACATACACCTACCTCCTGGAGAGTGTTCTTGATCTGGCCAAATGTTGTGAAGGGTGTTTTCTTCACCAGGGAAAGAATTCTTCGGTCATCCACCACAGTTGTTTTCCGTGGTCTTCCGGTGTTGCTGAGCTCACCGGTGCGTTCCTTCTTTTTAAGAATGTTCCAAACAGTTGTTTTGGCCACGCCTAATGCTTTTGCTATCTCTCTGATGGGTTTGTTTTGTTTTTTCAGTCTAATGATGGCTTGCTTCACGGATAGTGACAGCTCTTTGGATCTCATCTTGAGAGTTGACAGCAACAGATTCCAAATGCAAATAACACACTTGAAATGAACTCTGGACCTTTTATCTGCTCATTGTAATTGGGATAATGAGGGAATAACACACACCTGGCCATGGAACAGCTGAGAAGCCAATTGTCCCATTACTTTTGCTCCCTTAACAAGTGGGAGGCACATATGCAAACTGTTGTAATTCCTACACCGTTCACCTGATTTGCATGTAAATACCCTCAAATTAAAGCTGACAGTCTGCAGTTAAAGCACATCTTGTTCGTTCCATTTCTAATCCATTGTGGTGGTGTATAGAGCCAAAAATGTTAGAATTGTGTCGATGTCTCAAAATTTATGGACCTGACTGTGTATATACACACACACATATATACACATATACACACACACACATACACATATACACACACACACACACACACACACACACACACACACACACACACACACACACACATACAGTTGCAAGAAAAAGTATGTGAACCCCTTGGGATTACGTGGAGTTTTGCATGAATTGGGCATAAAATGTGCTCTGAACGTCATCTAAGTCACAACAATAGAAGAACACAGTCTGCTGAACATAATACTACACAAACATTAGATGTTGCCATGGTTTAATTGCACATAATATGTAAACATTCACAGTGCAGGGAGGAAAAAGTATGTGAACCTTTGGACTTAATAACAGTTTGACCCTCCTTTGGCAGCAATAACCTCAACCAAACGTTTCCTGTAGTTGCAGATCAGACCTGCACAACGATCTGGAGTAATTTTGGACCACTCCTCTTCACAAAACTGTTTCAGTGTGGCAATATTCTTGGGATGTCTGGTGTGAATCGCTCTCTTAAGGTCATGCCACAGCATTTCAATCAGGTTGAGGTCAGGACTCTGACTGGGCCACTCCAGAAGGCGTATTCTGTGCTGTTGCAGCCACTGTTTTGTTGAATTACTTGTATGCTTTGGGTCATTGTCCTGTTGCATCACCCATCCTCTACGGAGCTTCAGTTGGCAGACAGATGGTCGTACGTTTTCCTGCAAAATGTCTTGATAAACTCTGGAATTCATTTTCCCATTAATGACAACAATCCGTCCAGGCCCTGAGGCAGCAAAGCAGCCCCAAACCATGATGCTCCCTCCGTCATGTTTTACAGCGGGGATGAGGTTTTGATGTTGGTGTGCTGTGCCTTTTTTTCTCCACACATAGTGTTGAGTGTTTTTCCCAAACAACTCAATCTTGGTTCATCTGTCCACAGTGTATTTTGCCAGTAGTGCTGTGGAACATCCAGGTGCTCTTTTGCAAACTTCAAACGTGCTATAATATTCCTTTTGGACAGCAATGGCTTCCTCCGTGGTGTCCTCCCATGTACTCCATTCTTGTTTAATGTTTTCCTTATTGTAGATGTGTCAACAAAAATGTTAGCATGTGCCAGAGATTTCTGTAGGTCTTTAGCTGACACTCTGGGATTCTTCTTTACCTCATGCAGCATTCTGCGCTGTGCTCTTGCAGTCATTTTTACAGGACGACCACACCTAGGGAGAGTAGCAACAGTGCTAAACTTTCTCCATTTGTAGACAGTCTGTCTTACTGTGGACACATAAACATCAAGGCTTTTGGAGATACTTTTGTAACCCTTTCCAGCTTCATGCAAGTCAACAATTATTGATCGTAGGTCTTCTGAGAGCTCTTTTCTGCGAGGCATGGCTCACATCAGACAGTACTTCTTGAAACCAGTAAACCCAA